AACCTCATTCCCCTACATGGTTGCTGCCCAAACACAGCCACTATCACAGCCCAACAACAACACACCCTCAACCCCACTGCCCAGGACATCACCCCGCTCCACCCTTCAAACATCGAACCAAACTCAAACACCATCTCCAACCCCACAAAACCAGATTTCGAACGTGATGGAAGAGGAGGGAGAAGAGGAAGAAATGCCAACGGAAAGAATAGTGGAGCACGGAGTGTTAAGATACCCAAAAACAATGGCATTCCAAGCAAGAAGAGAAAAAAGATTCATCTTAAGTTGCCCGGTGGATTTGAGGAAATGCTCAATTTCCATAAGGAAGGTGAACCCACCGAGCATCTACCAACATGCGATGGTGTTAGTACCAACAATATTCTCCCATTGTTGGACGCAACAGGAAATGATGAGGAACGAAGATAACTCCTCGGGCAGCCAGGGAAGAGGTGTATCAACTAGAAACATTAGCATGAATATGATTATTTGGAACTGTCGTGGAGCAAATGGAGCAGAATTTAGGAGAGCTTTTAGAGCTATGCTTGATTATCATCGTCCTAGTTTGGTCGCGCTGCTAGAAACAAAAATGAAGGATCACCATACTCTGGTCCAGGATTTCGGCTACACCAGCTCAATTCAAATGCTGGCCAATGGAAATTCAGGAGGTATTGTACTCATGTGGAACAATGGAGATACAATGGTGGATCAAATTGGAGGAACGGACCAAGAGATACACGCCATGGTAAAGGTACGAAACTCAACAAAAAAATGGTTATGCTCTATTATATATGCTAGTAACCTTATGGAAGAAAGATTAATACTGTGAAAAAATTTAAAAATAGTAGCAAAAAATTTTAAGGGTCCTTGGCTAGTTGCGGGAGACTTTAATGAAGTCACCTGTGCATCGGGAAAATTTGGAGGACTGCCTATTAGTTACAGTAGAATATCCAAATTTTTAGATTGTATGAACAATTGTGGTCTAGTAGACCTAGGTTTTAAAGGGCAAAGATTCACTTGGACTAATAAGAGCAAAAATTGCAAAAACATTATCATGGAAAGGCTTGATAGATGTATCGCAAATACTGAATGGCTAGAGCTATTTCAAGACGCAAATATCAAGCATTTAACTAGAAGCCATTCTGACCATTGCCCTGTCATGTTAGAATTTTCCAAAAGGTTCCCTACTAATAATAATATATTTAGATTAGAAACTATGTGGCTATCTCACCCCACGTTTAGGGCTCTAGTGGATAACTCTTGGTCGAACCAACCTAATATCTCAATAGCTATAGAGAAATTTAGTCTGAATGCTATAGAATGGAACAAAACTACTTTCGGCAATATTTTTAAAAAAAAAAGTACCCTATTAGCTAGACTAAATGGAATTCAGAATTCTCCAAACTATCCCCATAGCCAATTCCTAATAAACCTAGAAAACGATCTCCTGCATGAGTACAATAGCATACTCAGACAAGAGGAGGAATTCTGGAAACTCAAATCCAGGATCCAATGGATCCAGGATGGGGATGCAAACACAAAATTTTTCCACATCACCACAATGCAAAGAAGAAGGAAAAACAGGATTATTTGTTTAAGAGACGAAACTGGAAATTGGATTCAAGAACAAAAACCCATCAAGGAACATATTATTGAATTCTATAAAAAGTTCTACACCACAAACCACAACCAATCCTTGCTCAAAAACAATCACCTCTCCTACAGCTCTACTATTAAGGACCAGGACCATATTTCCCTTAGTAGTATCCCCTCTATAGAAGAAATTAGGAGGGCACTAGATTCCTTCAAACCTTATAAATCGCCAGGGCCGGATGGACTCCATCCGATTCTGTACCAAAAGTTTTGGAAAGAAACCAGCAATCTTCTCATAAAATTCTGCCAGGATTCCTTCTCAGAGAAAAGAATGCTTAAAAGTATGAATAATACACTAGTATGCCTAATCCCTAAAAGCGAAAATGCAGAAACCATTAGGCAATACAGACCCATAAGCCTTTGTAACACTGCTTACAAAGTTGTCACTAAGATTATAATAAGCCGCATCAAAACACTACTGCCCACCCTTATCCACCCTACCCAAACTAGCTTCATAAAAGGAAGAAGGGCTGCGGATAATGCTCTAATCATCAATGAGTTCTTCATCATTTCAAGAACTCCAAAGGGAAAAAACCAAAAATGATGATTAAAATAGATTTGGAAAAAGCATTCGACAAAATAGAATGGTCCTTCGTTAGATTTTCTCTAGCCTCCCTTAACTTCCCTCCAGACCTTATAAAACTCATTATGTCCTGTATCTCTACTACCTCAACTGCTATCCTGATTAACGGATCTAGAACGGAGTTCTTTGAACCATCTAGGGGAATCAGACAAGGGGACCCCCTATCACCATACATCTTTATCATATGCATGGAGATGTTTTCCAGGTTAATTGACCACGAGATTGACTGCTGCCGATGGACCCCAATAAAAATTAGCCCAAAAGGCCCGGAACTCTCACATCTCTTCTTCGCGGATGATCTCATTCTCCTAGCTGAAGCCAACCAAAAAACCTACAGCTCTATCATTGACACTATCACCAAATTCTGTAATGCTTCGGGCCAATCAATAAATTTTGAGAAATCAAAAATTGTGTTCTCCAAGAATACTCCTATAAGCAAAAAAAGCCACATCAGCAGTTGCTTCTCTATGAATTACACTGATAACTTTGGGAAATACCTAGGCTTCCCTATGCCTAACACTAACCCCACAAAAAAAGACTTCCAGTCTATCCTGGATAAACTCAATAATAGACTAACAGGCTGGAAAACTAAATTCCTTAATATAGCGGGTAGGACAACCCTCGTAAAAGCCACCCTAGCCGCAATTCCAAACCACGTCATGCAGATCTATGATCTCCCCAAAACTATCCTAAATAAGATTGACGCAATACAACGTAACTTCCTCTGGGGTAGCACGGAGAATAAGAAAAAATGCCATCTAGTTAAATGGAGTATAGTCACAATGCCTAAGAAGCAAGGGGGTCTAGGAATACCTAATACCCATATGAAAAACTCCTCTTTCAATACAGCCTTAGCATGGAGATACAAAGAAAAGAAAAAAAACTTATGGGCCAAAATTATTCATAATAAATACAATCACAGAAAAAACACGAATACGGGCTCCCACACATGGAAGGTTATCAAGAAGGGTAGTGAAATTTGTAAAGCCAACACTAAATGGTTAATAGGGGATGGAAAAGATATTAATATTTGGCAAGACAATTGGGTTAATCAATCAGGAACGCTTAGGGAATCCATCCAAGGCCCCGTTCAAGCTGGGGAACTTAACAAAAAACTGTCTTAACTAATTAAAAATGGAAGTTTTGACCTCACGAATCTATCATTTGATCTTCCCCCGGACATAGTCTCTAAAATAAACTGCACTTACATAAAACAAAATGGCCCCTTTAGGGATACATACACTTGGAATTCCAAAAATCACAACTGCTTTTCTATCAAAGCAGCATATGAAGCTGCCTCGGGATCCACGGGCACTACTAAGGACTTAGCCTGGATATGGAAAATAAACTCTTTAAATAAATTGAAATTCTTCCCGTGGACAATCTTCTGGGATAAACTACCCACTAAAGAATTGCTAAGAAAGAGAGGGATTTGCCACGAAGATACTTGTAATATTTGCAATAAAGAGACGGAGAATATAGAGCACATCCTCTTCCAATGCAACTACTCTAGGCAAATCTGGTATCAAATTAATTCAAAACATCCCTTTGACCTAAATCCCAAAGGAAAAGACTTCCTTCAAATCTGGCTTAAAAAGAAACTCCTGTCAAAAGAATCCTTTGACAAGTTCCTCCGTTGGTCAGACTTTCTCCCATTCCTCTTATGGCATATCTGGAACTTTAGGAATGGTATCATCTTTGGTAAAAATATAACACCCATTAACAAAAGCCAACCCATCAACAGGGCCATCGAATTCCTTTACTTGGCAAAAAACAATCTTCTAAAACCTGTTAAAGATACCATTTATGTAAAATGGGAGCCTCCCAATCCAAATTTCTACAAGCTTAATATAGATGGAGCCTGTGCGGGTAACCCAGGAACGGGGGGAATAGGAGAAGTGTTTAGAGATGAGAGGGGGAATTGGATATTAGGTTTTAATATGGGATTAAATTATGCCACCAATATCTACATGGAAGTTCTAGCCCTCCTTCACGGAGTCAAAATAACACTAACAAAGAAACTCCTTCCACTAGTAATAGAGACGGACTGCATAGAGCTATTAAACCTTCTAAAATCTAACAACTGTCTCTATCAAAATTTAATTGATGACTGCAGGTACCTATTGCGGAGGGCGAATGATCCACAGCTGAAACACATCTATAGAGAGGCTAATAGAGTAATGGACTTATTAGCTAAAAATGGATGCAGCCTGGACACTTTTTGTAACTTGCAAGTTTTTGATGTACCGCCTATCTTTACTTTTCATGCACTAAAAAGAGGCAATCTTGGCACTATGTGGCCTAGACTGAGTTCTTGTTGTAATAACTCGCGTTTATTGAATAAATCTTTTATTACCAAAAAAAAATATACGCAATGTCCTATCATACAGATTAAGTAAACATTAAATAGTTAACTAAACAAAGATTACAAAGGTAATCAGACCTCATCTATTTAATTTGACTAGTCCTTAATGAAAGACTAATTATAAGTTGGGCCATATGCTCTTTCTTAAATGATGAATCAATTCCAATTATTTTTCTTTGGGTATTTCTATTTTCTGTTTTGACTTCTAGCTTTTATTTCTTTGAGAAATTTATATTGTTTCCTCAAATACAATTCGTGTAATTTCTAAATTTGATTCTTTAGATTCTACGGCGGAATCTTCTAGGTGAGATTCTCATTTTCCTTGAGCTTCTTTCATAAGCTGTAAAGACTCTTTAGTTAGTTTTATTTCTTTTTCAGTTTCAGAACACCCCCCCCCCCCCCCCTTTTTTTTTTTCGGCCATTCTCAGGTAAATTTTTTAGCTTTTAGCTTCCGTGATTGTTCATTTACACTCTGTAAACTGAATTTTTAATTTTTTATATACTTCTTTGCCTAATTTTGTGGAGTTTTTTGTTGAAAGAACTTATTTTTACCAAATTCTTGATCTTTTTTCTGCTGTCCCTTTTGTTGATCATTGGGTTTTTAGTTTTGTAGTTCTTGTAGTTTTTCAGATTCTTTTTGGTGGAGTAAAGTTTTAATTTTTATTGGCAGTGTATGATTGAAGAGCCATAGCACAGTTGAATTAGGTTAGTGTAGATTTTGGAACTTATATTGGTTCATGAATTATTTATTGTTGTAGTCCCCTGTTGTTTGGTTAATATATGTTTGTAGAATCTTAATTATCTTTATAATCAATGCATGTAGATTGTATAGATCCCCTATGTGATTGGTTTGTTAATGAGAACTTTTTCATGATTTATATCATCAAATAGTTTCTTTTTTGGGGGTGCTTTTAGGGTTGGTTTCTTTTTGGGTGAGGGGAGGGGTGGGAGTGGGTCGCAACCTCCTCCTTTATCCGGGCTTGAGATCAGTAATGTAGCAAGCTTACACACGCAAAATTTAGTATGCGTCTAAGATAAGCTTAAATGGAACTACATAGTTAACGAGGATTCATATAGCCGACCCCGTCTTGCTTTGAGTTGAGTAGTAGTAGTAGTTGTAGTTGTTGTTAAGATTTTGGTTTATGCCTTTATGGGAATGAGTTGGAAGTGGGGCGAGGAATTTTGGGTGGAGTGGAAGGGCTAAACCAATAGTTAAAGCTTGCAACTTTATTAGGACAAGCTTGTAGTTTGGATATTTGACATCAATTATCACAAATATTTAGTGAGTTTTCACGAAGGATCATTGGCAGCATTTTGAGATTGTTTATCGACAATACATACAACAATTACGGCTCAATGCCAAGCTAGATTGTTTCACATATTTTAAATGATTTGATATTGCTGAAGTTTGAATTCCTGCCTATTTGGAATTTTTTATGGGAACCAGTGGGACTAAGGGGTCGTTTGGTAGAGTGTATAAGAATAATGCTGAATAGGGTGTATTAATAATGCTGGTATTAGTTATGCTTGCCTTAGTTATGCTGCCATTAGTTATACTAATATGTTTCTTATCCATTGTTTGGTTTGATGTATTAAAACATTGCGCAATTTCTAAAAGAATTGTTTGTTTACAAAAATAACCTCATAACTAGTTCATCACTTTATCTTTTTAAAAGAAACATAAGTTGAGGAATATTTTATATGAAAAAGGTTTTAAAAAAATTATTTGATTTGTCTACCTTTATTGTAATATAGAACTGAATATTTATTTATAAATAAAAAGATTGCTAAGTATTTATTTATTGACTAGGGATATAATTTTATTTCCCACTTTCTTGATTATTTCAAACTTGCATTAATATAATAGCATATTTTAATCAAGTTTAGATTTTGAAGGACAATTTTGTCTTTAACTAAGCTAATGCATGCGTTAAAACCCATTGCATTGGTAATACCATGGTTTTTTATGCATTAGTTATGAATAGGATAATACCATGTATAGGTTCAAAAATGTACCAAACATGGCATTATTAATACACAAAGCTGATGCATGCATTATTTTATCTAATGCATCGTACCAAACGACTCCTAAGAGTATGGATTAAGTATAGCTTGTGTACTTGCATGTGTACTGTGTACGTGTGCCATCTATATATAGGTCTTTTTATTCCAAGCTTCTAGTTTAAAATATATGTTTTTTACCTTACTTAGCATCTAATCGCCTATGTGCATGGTATAAGCCATTATGTGGTCATAGTCGAGATGGAATAGGTCGTATTTGCAACTTCTTTTTTTCAAGAATTTCTAGTATAGGGTAAAATAATATGGTTACGTGCTATTCATCAAATTTGGATTAACAAACAATTTTACTTGGACAACAGTAGGGTATGCGTTGTAAGTGAAACTTTGGAAGATTTCTGTGGGCTCCATTTGCAACTGGGAATCGGACCTACTTACCGTTAATTAGGTAAAGTTGACGAATTAATATCTTATCAACATAAAAATGGCATAAGGAGACATGATGTGCTTGACACCGAATTAACAAGAAATATATTGAGTAGATTGGACCAAAAATCCTTGGTTAGAGGCAATTCAATCAAGAGGTGAGAAGATTTCGCTGAATACTGCATAAGAATACATGTTGCTATGCTAAACTAGAATGCTCTTCATGCAGTTTAACAATAGTTCTCTCTCTCTCTCTCTCTCTCTCTCTCTCTCTCTCTCTCTCTCTCTCTCTCTCTCTCCCCCCCCTCTCTCTCTCTCACTATATATATATA